CCAGTGTTCAAAACTAGCTTGCCGTAGCTCGATTCAAACCGGTAAGCTTGTAATAATGTTTTTAATTCCAGTGGTACTGGTGGATTTCTGCGGGAGATTCGAGCATGTCTTTGCGTCATTACGTCACATCTGTACACATAAAGAAGGAGTCTCGGCTAGTAGGCTATATTGCGAGTGAGGATGTTGGAGGTGGAGATTTATAGCCTTTTCTCACAGCACTTGATATAATTCAACTTATTAATTTGATGGCGGATCCAGAAAGGTTCAAATGACAATCACAGTGACAGCTAGAGATTCACCCGTTGTAAAATGCAAAAGACTTCGTACTAGTGGCTACAGAAAAGAAGAGACTGCAACCGGACCCATGCGAAAACAAGGATAAATATCGGAAGGGCTTTAAATGTGTCACGCAATGCTGATGTTGTTAACATTAACAATTTGAGAACAAAGTATAATTTGCACGGTTTGGCGTGATATGATAATCGATCGTTAGATTTAATCAGCGCGATTTACTGCAATGCTTTTTTCAGTTAGTTGGTCAGAAGAACAAAAGTGGATGTTACTTGTTCAGATGACATTTTCTGGTGAATATTATTATGTTGGTCATACTTCCAAAAAGTAGAATCTGTGATGCAAATGACAGTATCCACACCGGCGTGGTGACTGACAGCCGCACATTCTCCTCAAAACATTGGATTCATCCGCGCTGTGCCGGGCCGAGGCACAACTCGCGTAAAGTTGATAATTCCGCGAATGACTGCAATTGCAGATTTCGAACAGAGATGGCGACAAAGAGGAAAAACTGCAGACTGCAGCTTTAAAGAAATTAATACTTTTATTGAGAAAGGTCATTAATTTGACTTTTACATTGTCACAATTTTTTTTATTTCAAATAAACGCTGTTCTATTGGACTTTCTATTTATCAAAGAATCCTGATTGTTTTCCTTCTGATTACACAGCACAACCATTTTCAACAATGATAATAACAAGAAATGTTTCATGAGCATCAAATCAGCATATCAGAATGATTTCTGAAGGATCATGTGACCTTGAAGACTGGATTAATGATGATGAAAATTCAGCTTTGCCATCACAGATATCTTGAAATATAAATTAACACTAAAAATACAAAACAGTAATTTTACATTGTAATAATACTACAATAAAAAAACTAAATATTACTGGTTTACTGTATTTTTTTTATCAAATGTATGCATCCTTTGAGAGCATAATAGACTTTTCAAAAACAAAAATCCTACCAACCCAAAACTTGAATGGTAGTGTATGTACACACACAGATTAAATGGATTTCATAGAACACTAATATGAAACGGAGATCCTGGAATATGCTCATCTCCCCATTTCACTGCTAATATGTATTTCCCCCTTTCCTTTACGGCATAGTTGATCCTATACTGATGTCCGCCCATGTGAATGATCGACACCCGCTCGCAGGGGACAGTGGGGCCATGCATGCCGACAAAGAGAAGGTTTCGTCCTACAACACAAATGCAATTACACTCAGTTCTGAGAGAGAGACATTTCTTTTTCATTACTTAAGTGAAACAAGTTACTTAATATTCTAGCTAATGTCAAGCTGCACTCACCAGCTTTACTGCAGTCCACATAAAAAGTGTTTTTGCGTCCTAGAATGCCCTTACTCAGGCCTGGACCATGGCAGATGACTTTACTAGCGTTAGACAGGAAAACTGGCTCAGCACTGCTGTCAGATGATATGTTTATCTCCATCTCTGACAGAGAGGGTTCCTCGTAACTGTTACACATCTGATTATGATCTCCTGGCAGAATAGAAAGTACTGTCAGACCCTAAACACTCAAATATCTCCCATGCAAAATGGAAATTGTCTTCAAAAATTGCTAATTCATACCATAGCCTTTTTGTCCTTGTGTGAGACTCTTATCTGTGGCGGCACTGACAGACACAAGGAAGGGGCTTTCGGAAATATGCTCTTCATTAAACATGACTGAAACCTCATAGTCTCCTGCAGGAAAACACATTCTGTAAATGTGTCTATAAATAGGCCCTCCTCTTCCTCAGAAATTCATTAACCAATGTGTTGATGGATTATTTTTTTCTGCTGTCATCATTATGACTATGCAGTAAATGTTTTTGTAGCCTACCTAAAGGCCCATTCACACCAAGAACAATAACTATAAAGATAACTATAACTATATTAGCTGCTGTCCATACAAACTCACACACATCTGCCGCCAGAAAAAAAAGGATTGGAATGTGATTCCATTATATCATTCCTCTGTTGTTATAGTTGTGGAGTGGATGTTTCTATTGTTCCTAATGTTGGTAATGAAACAGTTGACGGTAGCCATTGATTTTTACAGAATAAAAAAATATGGATGTTAATGGCTACCATCAACTGTCTGATTTTCAACATTCTTCAAAATATCTTCTTTTGTGTTCAACAGAAGAAATAAATTCATACAGGTTTGGAACAACTTAATGGTGAGTAAATTATGACAATTTTCTTTTTTGGGTGAACTAACCCTTTAATACGTTATTATAATAGTTATCGTCCTTGATTTGAACAGGCCTTAAGTCTTAATATACTGAATAAAATACTATACTTACTTTTTAAAGATATTATATAAATATTAGATACTTTTTGTCATAGTATCACAAATTTATTTATTTTTAAATCATTTTAAATAATTCCAGATCCCTAATGACATCATTCTCCAGAAAGTCACATAATTGCAGTTGAAAAAATCAATAAATAAATAAAAATAATTTAGGTCGCAAGTAATTTGCATTGTAAAACCGGTAGTAGTAGCATTGGACTTGATGAATTCTGTTATATTTTGTGGTATTAGATGCATCTCACTGTAAAACATTTCATTCTCATTCCCAATAAAACGACACAAATCGGTATGATGATATCAAAACTTCAAAGATGGTCAAAAAATGATCACAACAGACAAGTTGACATTCTCATATGCAGGTGTCCTGTTAATTTTTCATTGTGTAAATAAAGTTATACATAATTAAAGTTTAAGTACCTGAGCTTGACCAGACATATTTTCTATGTCCAGACAATGTCCATAAAATGTTTTGAAATTTTACATACAGTATACTGCATAACAGCAATTACCCACCAGGCACTTGTGCCGTGTAGGACACATTGTAATAATCATCCAGCTGATCATCAAAGTGGAGCTTAATCTTTCCAGGACCCTCTACTGAGACAGACAGAGTTCCTGCGCCAGCCTCACGGGACCAAATATTAAAGTCAGCTGCAAAATTAAAATCAACACATACTTTTGATATGACTCACAATTGAATTAGCCAGCTGTGACAGTACAAAACAAAACACCTCGTGCTAACAAAAAACAGAAAGAGGGAAATATTAGTGGGATACCTGGAACACTTGCCAGAGCTGTCTGAAGGCCTTGTCCCCACACCTGGATCTTTTCACATCCTCCTTGTCCAAGTGGGCCGACGGTGTACTGGAGTGGGCAGCCAGGGATTGTCTGGCCTTGGTTCTTAATGGTCACATTATAAACTCCCATCTCTTTCGCTAGAAAGCTCACTGCATAGGCGTCACTGCCAGTAGCAACAATAACAGCCTCCCCTAGAGTTCCTGATGGTTCATGCACGTGTGCTGACAGAGCTTCAGTATCAGTACCTGTGATGAAAGGGAATGCGTTTGTTTACATCATTGGAAAGTTCTTGAGGAGTGAGATATAGTACCTGGATTAGTGAGATGTGCTATTCATCTAACCTGGGATTTTAAAGGCTAAGCTGCATTCACTCCCAATGCTGGCAATAGGAGACGCTTTCTGGTTGTAAGTGATGTTCTCTCTCATAAGTCCACGGTCTGATACCACAGCTGTAAAAGGACTCCCTGGTGAAGAGACATTAAATATTTATTATACTGAAGTGCAAGTAAAAACATTTCTCATCAATGTTGAAAACAGTATTTAAATTTTTGTGTACATTTTCTTTTCTTTTTTTTAGATTTATTTTTGCCGATTTTGGCGTTTATTATGAACGCCAGATAATATTACTCTGACCAGAGGAGAACTGGCCCCCCGACTGAGCCTGGTTTCTCCCAAGGTTTTTTTTCTCCATTTTGTCACCTGATGGAGTTTTGGTTCCTTGTCACTGTTGCCTTTTTCACTTTTTTCACCTTTGTTGCCATTGGCTTTTGGCTTGCTTAGTTGGGGACATTTAATTTAATTTAACTTAATTTAATATTCAACAATATAATTGATCTGCCTGCATTGACACCATTATATGATAACTGGGGGAGATCGGGAAAGTCGGGATTCGAACTCGGGAGTCGGGACGCCCGCAATGGCGCTATATGTTGGTGCGCTGCCCACGAGGCTATTGGCGCCGACATTACGTTAATTTTTTGTTCAGGATTTTTTTGAACAATAGAAAATAAAGCAGCATTTATTTAAAAAAATTTGTAACAATGTACTGTAAATGTCTTTACTGTCACTTTTGATCAATGTAATGCATCCTTGTGGAATAAAATAATTTTTTCATTGCATTATATATATAAAAAATATTATTAATAATCAGCTCTACAAACCTGGAATGTCCTCATCTGAAAATTTAACGGAGATTTTGTAGGCCCCAGCCTTGATTGGGTGGTACGATATATTGCAGGTTCCTTGCTCCATCTCTTCAGTGTGAACATCTACTTTACTGGGACCTTCAATTACAACCGTTAGCCCACCATATCCTGCAGGTTGCATAAAGTTCAGGAATATTTTTGTAAAACTTGTTTTTGATTACATATAAAGTTAGCACCATCATAACATACAATCCAAATCTCAACATGAGCCATAAATCAATTAATTTGGATTATATAGTCTCATACCTGCATCCCAAGTGTCCACCACAAATTCAGACATGCAGAAGGTGTGCCCTATATGCAAGCCTGGCCCGAAGGCCTTCACCTTGCTGGAATCTCCTATCTCTGCCTGACTGATGGAAAGAGAGATAGGGCTGTTGCTCACATGCTCACAGTCTTTCATGATGCTGACCAGATGCTCACCAGCCTCTCTGGGGATGAATGATACACCTGCATAACAAACAAAGTGCACCTCTGATGAAGTTTGACAGTGGCACTAAGGGGTCACCATGATTTTGCCAAGACATAGATGTTTGTTAATCCAGACATTTCTGTCTAAAAAATTTAGTTCTAACCGTAAACCCCATCTCTACCCCTAAAGCTAACCCTACCCATAACTTAAAATCATAGGGAAATGATAGGTGAATAACACTGATGTAGAATAACCTAACCATGGTTGTAAGCCTGAACTTGACCCTCAAATCTGATTGGTTGATTTGGAACATTGATCCAGGAACATGATGTACTTGGGGAAATCACTTTCCCCAGCACTAAGGATGTGGGCATGCGTGATTTATTTGATGTGGTCAAATGCTAAAACTTTTGTTTAGACTCATTAAAGGGTTAGTTCACCCAAAAATGAAATTTCTGTCATTAATTACTCACCCTCATGCAGTGGCGGATTGAAGGTTGAACCACTGTAGTCACATGGACTACTTTAACAATGTCTTTACTACCTTTCTGGGCCTTGAAAGTTGCAATGACGTTGCTGCCTATGGCTGGTTCAGAAACCTCTTGGATTTCATCAAAAATATCCTAATTTGTGTTCCGAAGATGAACAAAGGTCTTACGGGTTTGGAACAACATGAGGGTGAGTAATTAATGACAGAAATGTCATTTTTGGGCGAACTAACCCTTTAATGCTAGTCATTTTATTTTTCCCAACAGAAGCAGTGTGTACATTAATAGATGGCTCACCGAGATGGCTGTCAGGTTGTGTTTTCAGTAAGCAGGGTACATCATTGCCTGTGGGTGACATGATGCTGGCAGAGAGCTGGCTAATGTCTTCTTCAGTGATGCTAATGGTGAAGTCAACAGCACTGCCCAGATTTACCTGTGACGTTCTCACATTTCCATCTGTATTGGGTTTATAAAACCATCCATGCATTAATTTGCATTATAAAATTATTTACAAAAATGATGGTTGCATACCAGTAATTTTAGCCTTGAAAGGGCTGCCTCGGATAGGCATTTCATTATGTTGAACTTGGATCTCATAATCTCCAGGCTCAGTTGGGAGGTAGCTCACAGTACAAGTGCCATCTGCATTGTCCAAGCAGCGCACATCTGCCTCAGATGGACCCTGAATTGTGATGTCCAGTTCACCTGAACAAATAACAAATTACTGTAGGGTCCATAGAGTGTAACAGTTGGGTTCCTAAGTAAAAACTCGATTCATTTTCTCAGTAAGGAAATTGATTTTTAATGACAACTTTTAAATCTTTAAAGACAGACCTACTGGAAGCTATGAGGCTGAAGCCGTCAGTCTGCATTATTTTAAATTGATTTTAAAATAATCATGTTTAACAGCTGAATTTGTGGTGAAAAAATATATTACCCATGATGCCAAAAAAAAAAAAAAAAAAAAAAAAATCGGAGTCGTGACGAGCAAATCGTGCCAAAAGAGCTCTGCAGAGGGTGCCAAATCCCATGAAGCACCGTAATTGGCGTAATAGAGTCGGTCTCGCTATGCTGTCAAAATACTTAGTACATTTTAAGCTTTTTGCAAAATAAGTAGATCTATATAAATGTATGTTTCTATACATATAAATCAACAACATTAAATAAACAGTTTTATTTGGGGTCGCACTCACTAGAAATCGCGATCATGTTACATGTCCCCCTGTGGGTGTACAAAAATGTGCAGTGTCTGTTATTATGGAATCAGAAAACAAATCCTCACTCGAGGCTGAATCCTCCTGACAGATGGTGAACGTTGCTGTCTCATTTGCAATTCCATACATAAGGCCACATCCATAGGCCATCGTGCTCCGATTAGCACGACTATTTGCATAAAACTGCAGTGGAAGTACTGCAGGAAGAAGAAAGAATCATATTTAATCCATAGAGTTGCAATGTCAACAGTAAAACATTTCTATATTTGGTTTGATGAAGATCAAAAAGAAGAGGGACAAGTGAAAGTTTCTCATTCCAAGAGGATACGTGCAGTCTAACCTGGTAGATCGTTTCCGGTTGATTTAATAAGTAGTTGGTGAAGACCCTCTTCTAAAGGATCAAACTTTATAATGATGGTACCGTCTTTGTTATCAATCACGTCAGGCTGTGCTGTTTTTCTAGACGGTGTGATCACCTCACCTATGAATGCCATTAAAATAATGATGTGAGGATACGATCATTAAATTCAGCAAGTGAATTCAGAGCAACAGCTCACCTGTAATTTCACCTTCACTTATGTCTGATGACAGGACTATATCACAGGATATAAACCCAGCTTGATTAATGGCACCAAGAGGAATTACATTTCTGCCCTCAACCTGATGAGCAATAATGAAGATGGTGAAGACATTCAAGGTATGACATGTCTCAAGGACTTGAGACATTATTAAATGGACTGAAATTAACCTTGAAGAAACATCACACATTCATACCTGGTTTTGAAAACCTATGTGACCGCTTGAAGCGTGCAAGGAGGATGACTGGGGACTATAATTCCTGTCACAATTAATCAAGGGATAAATCGAGCACAAATTAGTGAATAATGAATTGGATACTGAGAGGGACTGATTAATGCATATGGTTTAGATAGAGACTGGAATGTAATTGCTATTTTACCTTTGAAAATCCTCCTCACTGGGATTTCTGGCTGCTGAGGAATGAGAGTCTTCAGTGGAGGGTGTGTGTGTTGCTGCATAGGCCCTGTTCTCATTATTTAACACTTCAACCAGATCTCTAGTGCCTAAGGAATCAATACCACAACAAACAAGGTTTCTTTTAAATTCTGCTCAATATTTGATGACTTCCAAACAGATAGATACAGATCTATAATCAGGTCCTCACCATCAGCTTTCAACATGTCAGTCTCTGGGGCCTCATCAGTGTTGCAGCAAGCTGTGAAAGTTTGAGGGATTTGAGCACAGACATCTTCCTTTAATTGTTTACTACAAACCTCAGTATTTATTCCATGCTCATCATCACTAGCAGAGTGAGGCAGGACATGAAACCTCAATGGACTGAAAAACAAATAGTATGAATGAAATCATGAATATATGAATGACTTATACTGTCACAAGTATTATACTTAAAAAAAAAAATATATATATATATATATATATCATTAATAATAATAAGAGTTTTGCATTATTATCATTAACATTATCATTAATAATAATAAATAACATTATCATTAATAATAATAAAAATATGTAAAAAATGTACAATGTACTACATTTAAATATAGAAAATGAAAGAAATAAACATTGTCATCATCAATAATATACATTATTTATATTATTAAAATGTTACCACAATAATAGTATTTACAAAAAGCTATTACTATTATTCATTTTAACTACACACAATTTTTATATATATATATATATATATATATATATATATATATGTATATACACACACACATATATATTTACCATTATAAATACTACTATTATTTCATTTTTAATATTTTAAAAAAAACTATTCTTACTTGCAATATGAATCATCATCAGCATATTTGACAATTAAAGAATGAAGACCTTCTATGGTGGGAGAATATTTCACAGAGTAAGTCCCATCTGGGTTTTCTTTGACCTCAGTCAGTTCAGTCTTTCCTGTAGATATGAAGCTTTGTCAATTACACAGGATACAGCCATAGAAATCTGAAACGCCTTTCAAAAGAAGCTGGTCCTCACCAATGGGGGTGATCATCAGCACACACTCAGGGGGCTTCCCAGATTTACTACAGTTGATTTTGAATGACTGAGGAATTTGAGCACAAATCTTTGGTCCTGTATTTTCAACAGTCAAGTCTGTCTGGAACTCAGAGAGGCTATGAAACAAATAAAGCACCAAATGTTTATCTTTCTCTCTAGAAAGAATAAAATGTATTTATTTTAGGCCGTACTGTCATGTACAATAAATAGACTCAAATACACTTTCATACCTTCTAAAAGTCTCTTCACTGGTGTATTTGTGCACCACAGAATTTTTCAAATTTGGTGCGCAAGCCATCTCACAAGTTCTGTCCCTGTTGCCCATCACATCTGTGGAGAGTTTGATTGAGCCTCCATGTAAAAAACCCATGTGACTGTCTGATTACCCTAGCAAACACAGCCATGCGAATGTCAAAATGGCAATATATCAAAAACGTGGTTCTGACCATTAGCTTTCACCATGGTGACAGTCTCTGGTGCAACACTGTAGCAGTTGGCGGATGTTTGAGGAGCCGTAGTATTGACTCTTCCCTCCTGACTCGAAGGTTCCTCTTTATTTAAGACATCTTCATCCCTTCTACCAGAGTAAAACCTGTGAAGACTGAAAGAGCACGATATAAGAACCTGAGGACATCCATGTATTGAGTGGCTTCACACTAACATCTTATTTATCTGCTGCTTTACCTTCTGAAGGAATCATCATTGGTATATTTGACCATAATCGAGTGAGATCCTTCAACAGAAGGGGAGTACGCCACTAAGTACGTTCCATCTCCATTGTCTTTTGCACTTAATAGCATTATTTTGCCTGCAAAGTGAAACAGTTAGTCAAATTCTATTGTTTAAAATGACAAACAAAACATCCTCTCCATTACATTCTCACCATCAGGTGTAACAACAGCTACAGTCTCTGGCGGCTCTCCGGTGCAACTGCCATCAATTGTGAAGGTTTGAGGAGTGTTTACACACACTTGTGCGTCTAAATCCAATCCAAAAACTGGAGTCCCATTCCTCAAGCCTTGGCCTCCATGATGCTTATATTTAGAATCAGGCATAGGCAGCACTCGAAACTTGAAAGGACTGTAAATTAACAACATGCGTCAAATTACATGTCAGTTGAAGGTGGATCTGCTGAGTCCCATCTCTATGTGACATGACCTATGCATTTAATCAATATTTCATACCTATAAATGCAATGCTCATACCTGCCAAAAGAAGCATCTTTAGTATATTTGACCATCAAAGAATGAAGTCCTTCCATTGAAGGGGTGTAGTTCACGGTGTATGTCCAATCGCCATTATCTCTGACCTCAAATACCTCAGTCAAGCCTGTATTTAATGATGAATAAGATGTGAAACTGTAAGATGTGTAACTGAAATATGACATTAGTAGTTGTGATCTAATATAATATTTAGTGTAATACCATCTGGTGTCATTATTGCAACAAGCTGTGGAACTTTTTTTGTGGAGGTGGAGTCGACAGTAAATGTTTGAGGATGCCAGGCACACATTCCTGATGTCAGACCTAGACATGCTACATTAACCTGAGCTGTATCATCTATCGGCAACACTTGAAAACTGAATTGTCTGTAAAAAAATAATAATAATATAAACTATATTTTCAACCAAAAACAATTTAATTTAAAATAAAAAAAACAAAACAAGACACTTGACTTGGAATTAACTTAACACATCTGCTAAGCAAATAAATATAACTTATTTCTCACCTATTAAAAGTCTCCTCACTAGTGAATTTCACTGTTAATAAATGACAGCCATCCATGGTGGGCAAATGGGCAACGCTATAAGTGCCATCTCCCCTTTTTTTCAGCTCCAGGAGCTCCATGGACCCTACAGTGCAAACATTCACAGCATCTCAGAGATAGAGATTTGTCCAATGATTGCAAATAGAAGTGTTTTAATTTTACTTTGTGCTCACCATCAGGTCTCACCACAGCAACAGTCTCAGGTGCTTCTCCACTGCTATTGCAGCCAATCGTAAACATTTGGGAAGTTCTACTACAGATTCTACCTTTAAAACCTGGAACAATAATCTCTTCCATATTCACAGCATGAGCTGAGGGAAGCTCAACATCACAGTCACAATTAGTCAGAGCTTGGAACTGGATGGGACTATGATAAAAAAAAAAAGGTAAAGAATAGTTACAATCCGCTTTTCAAAGGTACTCTGCTTCCAAGGCATCCAGATAATTTGCTTTACTTTGCTTTAAAAGATTGTCTAACCTGCTGCTTTTATAAGGACTCTGGGGATCTATGAGAGACTCTCCGTCTTCCATTGATGGAGTTGGACTCATTGTGTAAATCCCATATCCACTGTATTTGATCCCTGTCATTTCAGTACCTACGCCAATTAAAATAATGTGCAGACATGTCTTGGACATAAAAAAAAGCTAAATATAAAATTGACCTACCTTGAGAGACAGTATTTGTAGATAAACAAAGCCCTGACTGCAGACAGACTCCAGAATCTGCAGAAACATCCTCTACTGATGCAATAAATGGACTTCCTGTTGAATACAAACAGCAGTCGTGTAAAACATCATCATTGTTATTATTTATTTATTTATATAAACAAAGAAAATTTCAGAGCTATGTCAGCAGCACAGCTACTTTCATTGTGACAACAAAGTGAATAACTAAAGTCATACAATTATTTAAAAATTATATAAAGACATTTAATATTAATACAAGACAAAAATTCTAAAATACATTCAAGTGACACTTTTGTAAATAGTGTCAGTTAAATCTATCTATGAATAAAAAGTAGTTATTTGTGATTCAATGCCATATCATGGCAAAATCAATAGTATTTCAATAAAAAATATGATTATCATTATTTTATATTATTATTATCATCATAATAATATCATTTCAATACATTGTTTTTAAGACAAAATTGTTAAATTATTGTAAACAATCAATATACAAAAACATGCATATATAACAATAACAACAAAAGTAATAACAATTATATAGAATCTGGTACAATTTAATGTACAATAAAATTTTTAAAATTATTCCAGGATAAATCTTTTTAAAAATGTCCATTAATATATTTTCTGAATAAAAACATTGTCTAATATCATTTAAAATGGGCTTTCTATTAAAATATGTTTACACTCAAGAAATTTACACAAATCACAAACCGGTTTCTCTTATCCTTTCAATAAATATAAATGAGTGAGTCTTGAGTGACCGATCTGACATCTCGTATACAACCTGGTCATATCTATTTTCAAAATAATAACAATGACTAACTCCTTGATTTAGTACTGGATTCACATCATTTAGTTTGTTATACATGCATTCATTCCATTACTTTCGCCATTTATTGTAAATGTACAGATTCAATATGGGTTTAACATCAGATGCGGGTATCAATGAATAAAAGACATTATTTTCATTCAAAACAATGCAGTACAGTAAAATATGTTTAACAGTTGGAGTTTGACAATGCAGATGTGATGGTAGTTCTTCACCTTTCAATAAATAATCATGTGTAAATCTTAATTTTGACCTAGGTGCCCTAGTAAAAACAACTTGATTACACCCATATCTAAAAAAAAAAAAAAAAAAAAAAAAAAAAAAAAAAAAACCTTCTTATACTAGGATTTATTTAATATCATTGAAGTAAATATAATAAAATAAAGGGGGAAATAACAATTGTTTCTCATAATTTAAAGCTTACCTGGAATGCTTTTCTCTCCAGAGGTAATGGTGATCTTATATTCACCAGGCACTGAAGGAGTATATTCCACATCATACATGCCTTCACCGTTGTCTTCGCATGTCACATGACACTCAGATGCACCCTCCACTGTTATGCCCAGATCATCAACTGAAGATCTGCTGAGAAAGAGAAACATTATGGATCAAATGTGCTTGTCAAAAAATGTTTTCTCTGAATGCGTACCTAAAATTAACTACTACCTTACCTGGCGTTTACACTAAACATATTAGCACGTCCAGTGAGGCCCTTTCGGAGACCCAAACCATTTGCAACAACTTGACATGTGTCAGCTTCCCTTCCACCAACCACAATGCCTCCTGAAAAGGCAGAATGGATGAGAAGACAAACTCATAACAAACAAACACAATCCGAATGCAAACTATTCGTCATGTCAAAAACATTAGGATTCTCCTTTTACCTTGCCTGCTCACTTTTACATGGCTTTTGTAGACCTTTGGACCCACAATGACTTTAGCGGGGAAGTTGGGCACCACCTTTCCTCCATATTTCAGAAGCAGCGTATATACGCCTCCAGTTAGAGGCACATAAACAGCCGTGAAGGTGCCATCTTCATTCTCCTTCACTTCAGTTTGGACAATGACTCCCGAGTCAGAGACAGCATGCACAGATAGATCTCCAGATCCTGCCATTGCACAGTCTATATTTACAATGCAAGGTTCTCCGACTTTCCCCTGTAGCAGACCAGGACCTGTTACCAAAACTTTAGATGGGTCAATCGGTTTCTGGATATCAGCCTGGAATGGAGAGCCAGTTATGTGAGAGTTGTCGAAAAGGACATTTATTTTGTACATTCCATGCTCTGTGGGGAGGTAAAACACTGTACAAGTGCCATCTTGATTGTCCAGACATTTTAGTGTAACTTCACAGGGTCCTTCCACTCTTATGGCAAGGCGTCCACTGCCTGCGCTGCTTGTGTCAATGATAAACTCTGCCTGTTCTCCAAGAACACCTTCTTTTAGGCCTGGACCACAAGCCCTTACCTGAAGAAACGAACAACATCTGACTGTACTGTTCTTTCAGGTTGATGCACAGAAATTGTACTACTCAATACCTTTGTGGCGTCGCCTGGGTTGTTTGACGGGCTGAATACATTCATAACAAGTTCTCCATGACTACCAGGCCCTGCATTGTCTGGAAAGTCTTCATCAAGGTCCATCTCTTCATCTTCACACAATCAGATAACATCAAATCAAAAATGTCTAGGACATGAATAACACTATTTCAGAATTAAAGTTATGTTTTAATAGTATTAATTTTAACTGGAATAGTTCAAAACAAAAATTCTATCATTATTTACTCACCCTTATGTCATTCCAAACAGAAAAACCACATTCATTTCCAATGTTTTCCACATGTGATCACATGGGAACTGTTCCAAAACCAAATTTTTCCCATGTGCAGACAATGTGTTTCACATGTATATCGAAATGCAAGTAATCTCTTAAATCAAATATGGCACTTATGATGCAGTTAGGTCTAACAAAAGTCTTTGGTTGCTCCCAATTGTGAACTGATTAAATGCATGTTATAACCCAACAGGTAAATATGTAAAGTAAACTGATCAATCTGACTAAACAGCTCAATTCATATGGATTAGTTTTACAATCTCTTCTAGCGCTCAATGGAGGGACAGAAAGTGCTCAAATTTCATCAAAAAGATCTTAAAAAGAAGATAAATGAAAGTCTTACGGGTTTGGAACGACATGAGAGTGAGTAATTAATGAAAGAATTTTCATTTTTGGGTGAACTATCCCTTTAAATATATCAATGTATCAATTATAGTTATTTTAACTACATATTCACAAAGAATTAAAAAAATATCTATTTATCTGTCAATTTGAACTGTCATTTACATTATTTATGAATTGATTCCTTCATTTCCCTTTTTTTTTTAATAATAATTATTTAACTGTCACACCTAGTCACCTAGTCTAGTAAAAGTACTGTGTGAAGATTCTTCAAACATTTTCCTTTTGCATTCTACTGAAAAAATACCACCATACAGTCTGGAATAAGATGATGAGTAAATGATTTTTGGAAGAACTCTTCATTTAAACTTACCAGAGTAATACATTTCTGATCCATCTGGTTTAAACCAGACTGGGCTACATGGTGTAATCTTAATCCTGCGAGGTGTCACCTGAAACAGTAATGACACAGCGTCACATTTCATACAAAATCTTACAGCATCACAATCATAGGCGTCCGAAGCGCTGAAGATATTTTAATGCTCATAGGCTCATTTCTTAATGTATGTTTTTTAACATTTGATTTTTAGTAAGCATAGTTTCATTCCCTCTTGACAGAGGGAATCCCAGCACCAATAGACTAATAAACATCCCATTACATTCCTGTGAGCTCTGGCTGCTGCGCCAAGCAGCTGTACATCATCACTAGACAGGTTTAAAGCCATTGTGAGATGAAATGGAATTTCAATAAGGCAATAGATGCTGAAACATGAATGCAACATGATGGAAAACAAATTGAGAAAATGAGTTCTCTACCTTCATCAGACCATGTAAATGAAATGCACAACATCTAATGGTCATTCTAATGCATGTTCACATATTGCATAATCATTGAATTCTAAAGACCATATTTACTGCTGTCTATTAAGATCAATATATACACTCACAATGAAAGGACTGCCAGGAACCATGACTCCACCCCAAGACACAGCAATGGTATGTTTGGAGAGAGACGAAGGGATGTAGGAGCAGACAAAGACACCAGACTGTTCAGAGGCAACACTAACATCTACACATTCTCCATCTGCTCTCTGTGAAGAAGTCAAACCACTCTGAAAATTAAAAGTGCTTTTAAATTTAATAAAAATTAGGGCTGTCAAATGATTAATCGTGATTAATCACATCCAAAATAAAAGTTTTTGTTTACATAATATATGTGGGTGCACTGTGTATAATTATTTTATATATATATATATATATATATAAATACACACACATGCTTGTATATATTTAAGAAATATTTTCATGTATATACTGTATATAGATTTATATATAATTTATATTATATATAAATATAAATATTTTATATATAAATAATATTTTTTTCTTAAATATACATGCATGTGTGTGTATTTATATATATACAAAATAATAAACACAAACTTTTATTTTGGATGTGATAATCATTTGACAGCCCTAATAAAAATACATGTCATTGTATTATTAGTACCTGAGCATAAACTTTTAATTCTCCTTCACCAGCTTGCCTGGTATCTACAGTGAACTGGGTTTGGAGGTTCACTACGCACCCAGTTTGGGAAACACCTGGTCCTTCTACTTTCACCTGAAACCCGACATGCATACCTTATGAAATAATTTCACATCAAATGAAAATATGTCCTTCAAAAAAATGGATCTCTCTGAAAAGAGAAAGGGCTCTCACACTGAACACATGTCAGCATAAACGGATTAATAGGAGAGAATTTACCTTTTCAGGGTGGGAGTCTTTTCTTTTATGTCTGATGGAAGCCATGAAGGGACTGTCCTGGATTTCTTCATCATCACACATTAAGTGTACAGCATACTCACCGGCCTCAGTCGGCCAGAACCGCACAAGCCAGGAGCCATCATTTTGGTCATCACATGTGATCTTTGCCTGAGATGGACCTTCAATGGCAAAACCTTGGAAAGATAATTGGTGAAAAGTGATTTAATTATAAAATATAATAATATAATATGTATATAGTGTGATAATATGTATAAGGTGTATAGTACATTTAATTTTCATAGCTATACCATATTTTAGTAATACGATATCTGTGAAAAGGGATAATTATAAGATAAAATAAAAAATTAAAACAATATAAGTAATGTAATGTATTTTAATTGATAAGCTATGACATTTTTTTTAATACGCAATACATTTCTAAATTAACATCCACTCACCCAGCATGCCAGAGTCCACACCAACAGATTCCACCAAGAAATCAGCTGACAAGCCCACAGTCCCTCCCTCTAGTCCTGGTCCCCATGCTCGAATCTTCTGTGGACCAGCTTCTGAACCAACATGGACTTTAAATGGGCTGTAATAGAGAAACATTAACATTTTATTTCAATAATATGCTTTTCTATGTTGAACTTGTGTAAATGAGAGCTAACCTCTTGGCAATGTGCTGACCAACCCAGGTGATGTCCACTGTGTGATCTCCTTTAGCAGTGGGTGTATATTCAAAGGTATATACACCTTCAAGTGCATCCTTCTGTCTGACAGACACTGCTTTGCCACCTGACAGAAAGGGGTGACATTTCATTTAGACCACAAAGGGGCTACATAATTGTGTATCTTTATATAGATTGTGGGGAGTTTATGTACTCACTGGAGTCTTTAATAAGGACCTCCAGATTACCAGGCCCAGCTTTGCAGGTGTCCACTTTAAATTCGGCCAGCTGACCTACTCTCATGCCTTTGGACTGCAATCCCCGTCCTGTGGCACGACAGGCTTTGGGTTTTGGCACTAAAAAAAAGAAAAATAATAATAATAGAAAATACATTTTTTAAAAAGGTGATACATAAGAGGGTGATGCAAATAGACCCAAGCCATTAAAGGCCATCAAGGTTGTACACTTTATGAAAATAACTGGATTTGGGAAAGAGACACATAACATGTCAAAGGACATGTTTTGTTTTTTAAATCAGCATCAAGGTATTGACTGTAGGTTTGAGGACGCAGGTGCTGCTTTTATTGAGACCAACAACAGCACTAATGCATGTGTGATACTGCTTTTTTACAACAGTTCAATAAAGTTAATATTGAGTAACTTACAATTTAGACACAATATTTCTAATATTCTTTTGCTCCACCAACGAAAAAAAAATCGCAACAAAGCCAAATCAGAATTTAGAATGATAACTGGGCCATTCTACAGAATTGGTGCAAACTGCTGTCCGACAACCAAAAAACACATTTAAAAAGCAGATCCTTCTTTTAACTGCACTATTACTAGAAATGTGTACCTTGGATATTATACAATTTGCATACATACAAAATTTGTGGAAAAAGACACCTTTTTTCAATACGTTTCCAATTCTGACTTTGAACCAATTCTGTAGAATGGCCCAACTATAGTAATAACTATATTAGCATCCACACCAATGGAAAACAACATTCGGTTGCACTGCACTTGTTTGAGCTCTTTAAAGTTGGGTGGATTATTATTGGCTGTTCATCAACTGATGAAAAATTTCATCCAACAATATTGTTTCCCTGTGTTGTTATTGTTATGGCTGTGGTGTGGACTTCCAAATTGTCATAGAATTAAAACAATCATCAAAATGTAGTTTATATCATCATTGATGTGAATGGGGCTTTAAACATTATGCATTTGAACTAAAGTAGTGGCGTTCGTTATTGAATGAATAAGTGTTTTCGAACAAATCCTTTAAACTAATTATTTAAATATTATAAAGACAGTAAAGACAGTAAATTGTCACCTACTGGCATATTAATGCAACCTGCAGAAAGTCTTCTAGTCAACAAAATGTTTTAATAAAAAAGTTCTCATCAAATTATCATCATGATCATCTTTTATCTCGTCTTCGTTATAATTGAGGACATCAAAAAAACTAAACTGCAGGGGTTTTATAAAGGGCCAAACCTTTCTTTGGCTTGAGTGGGGCTCCAGGTTTCAGCCTGGCTTTGGGGAAAAGTGAGAGGTATGTCATCACTGACTGCTCATCCACGGCTGGATCAAGAATCTCCTCTGGGGCTATGAGCTTAATAAATTTAATAAAACAAAATAATAATTTAAAAAAAATGTCAATTGAGGACAACAGAATCCCTAAGGAGGTTATCAAAATGTATGTCTATTCTGGTTGAACTCACCTGTGGAACTCCAAGCCAGTCATCTGCTTGCTGCATGGCTTCTTTAGTGTTACTCACCCGATGCACTGCATCCCAGCTCTCCCAGTCAGGACACAAGCCTGTGGAAGCACAAACAATCATTTGTTAAGATGAAAACCTCTGGCAAAAAAAAAAAAAAAAACTTTCCCCCTTTCAACACGTGAGGAGTTAAAGAAGACTATTTAAGAAACTTTTTATACCTGGTGCCAGTCCATCCACTAATGCACCGAGAGCCTTGCCATCCTGCCAGTCCAGGCTGAAGTTAGTGATTGGCAGTTCAGGGACTTTGTTTTGGATCCATCCCAGAAGCCTTATCTCTGGAGTCAGTTTGGAGACAGAATCGTTTGCCTCATCCTCCCACGCCAGGGTGGAGATGGAGTAATGCTGAATCAAGGTCCAAACTAGACCCAGGATCAGCTTCAAATTCCCATCCACTATGGCTTTGCTGTCTGCATGGAGACAGTGAAGGTGTGTGTCTACTTGTTCCTTCAAGATGGAGACCTTCTCTTGGTAACATAAGTTGGTGTATTAAAAAAAAAAACCTTAAATAACTTTTGTAAGTCAGCCACTACATTCAAATAAGAGAGTTCAACTGGGAACATTGTTCCGGTCCAGCTTACAGCTAATTGACTGAAGTGCCATCTCCAATTTGACAAACAGTCAAAGTAACTTTTAGTAACTCTTTGACTCAAGGCCTTCCCTCCCTAATTAGGGAAGGGGCCACAGGAATTCATAGGAAAAACAAGTTTTAGTGTCAGTGTGGGAGCAGCAATTCAGTTGTATTACAACATCTTGACTTTGCTGGTGACCTTCTTGAGAAATGAAATCGTTATATAGATACAATAAACAGTTTAGTTTGAGTTTTCATCATTTTGAATAGTTAAAATTTTTATGCTTTAATTTATTCTTATTTTAGCTTTAGTTTGAGTCATTTTAGTACATCATCTTAGACTTGTTTTATTTCAGTTAGTTGCTAAATCAAGTTCTTCATCTAATATTTATTTTATTTCAGATTTATTTCAATTAACGAAAACAATTTTAACAGTTTTAGTCAACCATAATAACCCTAAATCACATCATAAATGATGAAGGAAATTAAAAAATGGTGAATGTTTTAAGCAATACTTTACTGTAATCAAATAAATACCTGATGTTAACCGATATGGTTTAATAGCCTCGGTTTCTGTCAGCCAGAAACATTGTTAATAGCATAAAGACAATTATATTTAATATTTAGAGTAATTGGTATAATTAGAGGCGAATTATGATTTGCTCTAATTACTACATGGTTTTAATTTAAGGAGAGTATAAGGTGATAATTTCACCGTAGCTATGTTTATCTGTGCTATAAGCACTTTAGTTTTTTACTCATATACATATATATACACATACACATGTATATATAAAGTATAATAAATTAAATAGTATGGCACAGTGCCAATAGTGTTTCTGCTTATATAAAACAAACTTGATCATAAGTCTTTCATAACATTCCAACTCATCTTTATTCTTATTTAATTGGTAGCTATATAAAATATTTACTTCTTGACATTCCTCACATTGCGAATTTTATCTAAACAATATTCAGAAACAAGATCTTTACAATGTTGTTCAAGTGCCTTGACATCTCAAGAAAACTAATACTGTAGATCTTTGCAAACGCCTTGGTTCGAAAGACTTCAGGCAGGTTGTAACTTACCTATAGACACCAACTTAACCTTTTCATGATCCAAAAACTCCAGAGCCACCGAAACGTTGTCTAGCTTGAGCTGTCTGAAGGTGGGTCGCGTGTGGTACTTTCTAAACATCCTCTTATGGCTCAGGACCTCCAGCAGCGAGATAAGGACAAGGCCATCGCTCAGATCAAACTTAAGATCGCTGATCTGCAGCTCCACAGACCTCAGGTGTTCATTGCACCAGCGTGTGAAGGTGTTCTTCTGTATCTTTTTCCACGGGGCGTCATCTGCCAGGTTGATTGCAGCTGCAGTAACACTATCTTTAAAGTCACCCATCGCTCCCTCTGATCAGTGTGGAGTCAGAAACCTTTTATACCAAACTAAGAAGCAGCATGAAGCTTTCATGTAGCTTTGCTGGTGGTGGGAGTGCCTTACAACCCCTCATTCTGGCCCATAATTATTATCATACAGCACCTCTGAGAGCTGTTTTTACTCTGACATTAACTGTGTCATCATGCCGCAGCCCTGCATCGTGCAAAGGAATAATAAAAACAGATTCTAGTTACATCAGTGCTTGAAGAATGCATTTACTCGGAAGACAGAGGTCAGAAACAGGATCCTCAGGCCTGGGGAATTCAGCTAATTCCCACCTGCAGCCAGATGAAGGTCTGACATCACTGTTGCTGATAACCTTATCGCTGGTGACGTTACACTTCATTTACTCCAGAATAAACTGAGCATATTATAGCCAGAGCTCTTTTGATCGGGGCACGTCCTCATATTTCCCATGCGGCATTGAGGAGGGATGACTCATTGGGGCGGACTGCATTACACCATGGAAGCGTGTGCCTTTGGCTGCAGGTTTATGATAAGAATTGGTTATACGGCCATCATTTAGTGGGGGTGCGTTTATGTGCCCAGGGTGTTTTTTTTGTGTGTGTGTGTACTCGAAATCTTAACAATAAGGTTCTTAGGTATCCATTTCACAATTTGATTCGATTCTGAGTCACAAGCTCTTAATTTGATTCATTTCAGTTATGAATGTCCACGTTGTTTACATACTCTTACACAAAGTAATATAAGACTAGAATTGGTTGTGCTGTACGTTTTTGATTCACTAAAAAGAACTGCCACATAAGAGACATTTGTTTGTGAATTAGACTATGGTCAAATTGTATATTGCAAGGTCAACTGATTAAAAAATGTTTTGCTATAAAAAGTATATAAAGCTTTATATGAGGTATAAAAATGTATTTTGAACAAACATATTACATGAACCTAGGTGAATACGGTATATGCTGTAAAAAATGTTTATTGCTAATTAATGGTACCTAATACATTAGCTAATGTTAACAAACTGACCCTGTTGTAAAAAATCGAAATGAAATTCATCTGATATGCATAAGGATTTACAACAACAACAAAAAAACAGGGACTTAACATGGCTGAACTACATTTATTTATTGGAATTGCATGTTTGTTAGATCAGGTAGCTTTTCCTTAAATCTCTGTACAAGTAATAATAAACATAAATCATAAACACTATATTATAAGTCTCTTTAGGACAAAATAGCTCTCTAATGTCCTAAGTGAACAGTGATTATTTTCATCATCATCATCATTAATAATAATAATAATACGTCAAATTCTTATCACAAAGAACAGTGCATAGACTAATTACTAATGGCTTTGTATAAGGTGCAAGGACATACACATTACATGGCGGATTTAGGCCTTTAAGCCACAGAATGTATTAAAACTTAAATGGATGCATCATGTCTCGAATCTGTTATTGCAGTGGGATTTGCAATTCTCAATCACTTCTCATGGAAGGTATAAACGTTTGTTTATTTGATGCTACTGTATGTTATTTAAGGCAATTCTCTAAGTGTTTGTTTGGCAAAGCAACAGTGTTCAATAAAATACCTGTTATTAGCCAGATACTTCAAATGCTATGCATACACAATGTCAAATTTAAAATATATATGTATGGTGCAACTGAGGGAATGTTGTGATGATATTATTCTAAGGCCGTCGGTATGCGAGTAGAAAGTTGCATTTAAACACTTTTTACTCAAACTAACACCACACAGACTAAAAGGACACAAATGTTAACATGTCTGAGAAAGATTGACTAGGTATGAATGTCACGGTGTGTGCGCTTGTTACTGGTTCATCACGTTGTTCATTTTGAGGTCTTTGAAAGCAAATACCCCGTCACAGCAATGGTTACAGCGGCAACAGGCATCCACCTGATCCATTTTCCCTGCAAAAACAAACATGACAAGAGATGACATCATCTGTAGCACCTCATCACCAATCAGAACATGTTTACAATCAAGGATGCACATGAGCCGAGAAGGGGACACAAAAGCCACAAGGACGGCACACAGACAAGGACAGCAGAATACACACGGTGCAGGACAAAGAGAGCCGGGATGCCTCAGAGCTACGCTGGAAAACTACACCCTACAAAATGGAGTTCGTCAGAAACACTTGTTAGTGTGCATCTTATAATACAAAGCGGACCTGTAGTAGGGAAACGGAAGCATTTTGCAAACGACCGGACAGCATTTTGTAGCTTAAGCAGAGAACTGTTTAGTGGTCATGCATAGCCCTGAGGATGATGGATGCTTAAGCAGAGGAATGAGACGGGACAGGAGCACTGTGTACCTTTCTACCACAATGGGCCCAAGCACCAATACAGCAAAGCCAGGACAAGGCCGATGGCTACGGCTAGGATGGGCTGCAATAAAGACAGCTAAAGGAGGGAAGGGAGGGATATTACTGAATGACTGTCTTATGTTTATGTGCGCTATTATTGGACTGGTAAATTTTACTATCATCAAGAAAAGGAAATCAAAAGGTGAAGCGTGTAATTCTTTCATTGTTAAAACCCTTCCCCTTTCCCAGTTCAATGTGCAGAGAAAACGCCACAGTTTGTTTAAATGCGACACGTCAACTTTTGGTTAAACCGATGCTGTAGGTGTGGGACAGTACCCCCTGTCTGTCAATGGCGTGGGTTGATGCAGCAACCCTTTGCCATCTCACAGTGGGTTATCAGCCTGGAAATTTGGAATTATTTAATATTATTTTATAGAAATAAATTAACAATTTAATAATTAAAACGTTGAAGAATTTTGTTCTTAAGTTACTGTAAAAATAAAATAAAATATTTGATTCACACATGAAACTGTCACAAAAATATTAAGACACTTCCTTCCTCATTTTTGTTTTGGTGGCATGTTCGAGAAATATTCAGCATGTATTTTATGTCGTCACATGGAATTTTGAGGGGAAAAAACCTTATGCATTTCCACTGAGGTGAAAACTGCATATTGCAACATTTTATTTACTCTTTTTATAGTGAGTGTTTTGGAGCCTGGATAGCCTTATTGGAAACAGTTTGGTGTTGTTATTGGCCACAGAAATTACACACTTCATCTTTAGGCTATACAAAATGTTGAAACAAATGTGGAAGTTTATTGTCAAACAAACGGTGCTATATTTTTCATCTCTGATTTCAAGGACAAACAACGCTTTCCTCTTGAACTGTCCCTATTGTCAGTGCCCCTGTTGTTGAACATAAGCGTTACATGGATTGAAAACTCACATAGTTGTCTTTGTCCTGCAGAAGCCTCAGGCGCTCTTGGCTCTGCTGCAGCTCTAGACTGATGGAGCCTTTCTCCTCCTCTACATTCTCATACTTCTCCCTGAGGCCTGACAGCTCTGACTGGATCTCCTCATACTGAGAAAGAAAAAGAGAGTAGAAACCTTTCATAAGGAGCAATGAGCCTAGTCAATAACACACACACACACACACACTGTGCATCCAGGGGCCAGGGCTTTTTTTAGGTGCAGAGCTCTTTTGTGACATGCCTGCTAATGAGTCTCAGGCAGTTCTACTTTCATTCTCAACTATGGTGGGAATAACCTCTTTCTGCAGTTCTTTGATCCTGCTATTGCCTTGCTCCAGCTGGCTAGTGTCTCTCTGGTGTTCCTCCTGCAGGACGCTCAGCCGTTTCTCCATGTCCACCTGCGTCTTCTCCAGGGTCTTGACCGTGTTGCTCAGGCTTGTGGTCTGTTTCTTGGAGCTGAGGCAGAATGCAGGTTCAGATTGCAGATCGATTACATCATTACATCACAAGTCTGCAAAAGGATATTTTTCCAATTTAAAAATGAAGTGTAAGGCTGTGTATTGAAAAAGATATAACGATTCGATTAATTTTCGAGTCAGAAGCACTAGATTTCAGTTGATTCTGATTTGATTAAATTCAATATTGATTCATTTGGATATACATCAGGTACAGTATGTCCATTTATCTTAAAGGGGAAACCAGCTGCAAAACTACAATATACTGTCAATTGGTAAATTTCTAAAATATTAAATGTTAAAATGAACAGTCCAAATTCAATTGCCATTTATTTTTAGATATAATAATCACTCAAACAGTAACAGAGTTGTATACGCACAATGAAATTGCACACAAGGCAGTTTTAAACCAACTTCTTAATGATTCAAGTATGTTTCCAGTCTAATTCTTAGTTGAAAAACATTTGGTCCTAACTTTTTTCATGACAGATTTATTCAAACATAAATCTCTACAGTGATCTGTCATGCCACATTAAAGAGCGTAAAAACCACAATTATAATTAAAGCTGCAAGCAGCATTTAGCGGTGTTCAAGCAGTTAAGGCCTTTAAGGCCGTTAAGCACAAAAGCATCAAAATACATTAAGTTTTATATAGCAAGCATCTAACCACTGAGATCATAGGTGGAATATACCATGTTTTAGCATGATTTACCATGATATATCACATTTCAGTGTTATTTTTCATTATTTACAATGTTCCAGTATGATTTACCATGAATCTAGCATGATTTAAAATTGTTTACCATGATATACCAAGTTCTAGTATGATTCACCATTATTTACCCTGTTCTAGCATGATTTACCACAATTGAACATATTCTAGTATGATTTAATATGATTCTAGCATGATTTACCATGTTATAGGATGATTTACCATGATATACCACATTCTAGAATGATTTACCGCAGGATTATAGCATGATTTGCCATGATACACCATGTAATAGTATTGTTTACAATGATTTACCATGTTTCTTCTTCAGAACCGGTGCCCAGTTAACCAATTCCCTGGAACCGTTAGTATGCCTGCTTAACGATTCCGCTTATCGGTTCCGCTCGTTGCAAATGTGTCATAACGTCACACACGCGCTGCGTTATTTTGATTCAGAACGCATCAAACATAACATCGAGGCAGAAGCGCTCGTTTGGTTATATTTCATGCGAAAAGACGAGAATATATGAGGTGCCGTCTAGGGCTTAAATCAAACTTCATTCACGCACACATATATGAAACACTTGCATATACACGTATACTAAGTAGTCAAACATACATGTATACTGCTGAATGCTCAAACAAATACATATGAAATGCACAACGACACACCTAAAGTCGCTCACGCATACATGCAAACTCTACACACACGAGATGCGCAAAACTCTCCAGGCACATACTCATATGAGACGCGCGCGCGCACACACAACTTAAACTGGAATGTCACTGTTTCTGTCACTGCGACTTCACGAACGGGTGAACACGCGCACGCACACACACATCACTTTTGAAGTAAAATTGAGGATGCAGTGCATGTAATGCATCGAGATATCAAATTGAACTGAATCGATAACATGATAATCGTAATCGAACCGAACCGTGAGACCATTGTAGGTTCACACCCCTAATACTCTGCGCTGTGTCAGCGAGTTAATAATTAACAAACAAAATAAGTTATAAGTTCAATAAGTTAATACAAACAAACAAATTTGTACTTATTCCCTCACCCAATGAGAATCGATAAGAGAATCAATAAGGAATCGAATCGAGAAGCAATATCGATAATGGAATTGGAATTGTTAAATTCTTGTCAATTCCCATCCCCAATCAAGTGTGTCAAAATGAAAGTGAGCCAATAAGTGGTCTTCTACTGCCCTCTGCTGGTCACACAAGTGCTTTTGCATTCATATGTAGACATATGCTTACACACACACACACGGGATATGTTATTGTGAAAATCTCTTTTAATGGTGTATAAGCATGCATTTAACATATTTCTTTGTGATGTAATAATATAAAACTATATTAAAACTAATAAAAAAATAGCTTTAAGCGTTTGTTTGTTAGCCAATGCTGAAAGCTGATAAAAAAGATTAAAAATGTCGGTAACACTTTACAATAAGGTTCATTTATTAAACAGTAGTTAATGTATTAATTAACATGAACCATGAGCAACACATTTGTTACTGTTTTTGTTCATCTTTGTTAACATTAGTTAATACAAATCCAGCTGTTCATTGTTAGTTCATGTTAGTTCACAGTGCATTAACTAATGTTAACAAGATTTTAATAAAGTATTTGTAAATGTTGAAATTAACATTAACAAAGATTAACAAATGCTGAAGGAGTATTGTTCATTCTTAGTTAATGTTAACTACATTAGTTAACATTAACTAAGAATTCGTCGCGGGGGGCGTTCCCGAGCCCCGTGACGATAGATTTGGATCAAGAACCCCGAGAGAACCTTACCTAGCGTGCAGAGACTTTCTGTTTTCGAGTTATGAGTGAATTTGTACTTGGGGGGCGTGGCCCAGCGTTATACTTTCGTATTTTAGCCTTCCTGTGACACAATTGTAAATAGTAATAAATAAAATAAATAAATGCAGTCCATAATACTCCAATAGATGAATTTGGACAAAATGTGATTGTAAATGTTAAAATAATGATTTAATAAAGTCTACATTTCAATTATATATAACAATATTAGGGAGTAGTATGATGAAATGACAGCAGGGGGCAGTAAAATACCACTTATTGGCTGTTATAGCCATCCAAAATGTTACAGCCATCCAATTTACACTATTATAGCCATTCAAATGAAGAAGTTCAACCTTTTCTGATAATTATTGATGTAGAGAGTCCAGAGAATTGTACTGCACTGGTTTTAAACATTATGATATGAAAAGTATACGATCATAGATGGAAAAGACAATTTACAGCCAATACAGGCAATTTACCATAGGAAATGTATGGTTTTAAAGCTTTTTAACAGTTATAGCGCCACCTATGGTCCGATCTCCATGAAACTTTGCATGCTTCCTCACCATGGTATGACACATATGCTCATCAATTTTTGTGAAGTTCTGAGTTTTCATTTATGATTTATAGGCTTTTGAGTGTATTTTGACACGCCCCCTTTACTAAATGACCCTGTTACAGTGAACCAAAGGGCAAAGTTCAACTTTTTTTTGATAATTATTGATCTAGAGATTCCATAGAATTGTCCTAGACCGGTCTGGTTCCGATCAGGCAAAAAACCAGAGACTAGTTCGCAAAAGTAGGTTTTGGACAAAATTGTCCATAACAAATTTTTTTTTGCTCAAATCGAGAATCCGAGATATACATCTTGTCCGTCTTGAGCCAAGGAACTTGATTCTAGGTCATACGGTCGATGAGTTATGGGCAATTTAGTACTTTTGGTTGCTGTAGCGCCACCTATGGGCCAATCAGGGTCATACTCTGATAGGTTCTCCCCAAACTGAGGCCCTAGCACCTGGCCAGGTTTCAAGTCTCTAGGCCTTACGGTTTGGGCTGCACGATGCGTTTTAGGTTTTTTTTTTTTTTCAAATAGCAATTACAATAGGTTTTCAGCACTTCGTGCTTGAACACCTAAAAAAAAAAATTATTCAAATGACAGAATTTGAAAGCTGAGACTTTGTTTCATATCAAAATTAATAAAGCACAAAGTTACAAGGTGCACTACAAATAATGTTTGGTGTATTTTTTTCATGCATCATCAGAAAAAAGCATAGACTAAAAGACTGATATTGGGATTTAAGAAACGATATTGGTTAATCAAAATGAAGATCGATTAAAACCCCAAAACTGATATTGTCCTAGTGAAGTGTGCCATTTTTTCATGTTTAAATGCTGATATTTAACTAGAAGTAAGCTTATAAGGATAGTTCAACCAAAACTGAAAATTCTGTCACTCTTTACTCACTCTCATGTTGTTCCAAACATGTTGTTGCAAGCATTGAAACCATACGATCTGCAAATCGTCATCCAAAGCACGCCTCCAAAACATGAGCGCGCACAGACCAGGAGCAAGACAATTTTATTGGATTACATCATGCGTCATTCACCGGCGAGAAAACTTTACAGTATAGTGAGTAACAGTACTACAATAACAAATGTAAACAACTGTTTGCCTGCCATTCTCACTCTGAATGCACACAGCATACGTGAAACGCGCTGATGACGTATGATGTCTGCATGAACAGGCTGCCTGCGCAGTGGAATGTAAACACACGTTGACTGATAGGGAACACATCTATCCTTTCATTCGGACCGAATGCAATGATTGAACGAACATTTTATGGTCCTACGCCTTCCACAGACGATATATATTTATAAAAATACATTTAGACCACTTAACATAGTGATTGCTATCAGGATATGAGGAGACTTTCAAACTGCATAACAAAAAAAAAATGCACCTTTAATGACATCAAACTTGCAACACAGTTTTCATCACAAATTTCAGTCTGTTACTCACACAAAAGGCCGAGTAAATAATGAAAATTTTCATTTTTGGCTGAACTACACCTTTAATTTCCCTGAGAACTTTAAACATTGCGGCTTAAAAAAAAAAGGTGTCTTTAGGCATCTTGACACAGCAACACTGACTCAACCAATAGCATGAGTTTAGGGGGGGGGTATTAGTTTGAAAACAATTTGGAATTACATTTGGTACTTCTAGTGGCACGGCAATGGCACACTTCACGTTTAGCTGTAGCTGACACCGCTTAATACAGACCTGTCCAGCTCTTTCTCCAGCTGCTGTTGTTTCTTCATTAGCTGTTCTTTCTCTGAGCGCAGGGTGTTGCTCTCACTCTGCAGGCTGATCTTCTCTTTCTGCTGTTTATCAGCCAGATGCTCTCTCTCTGACCTCAGAGACACACACTCCCTCCTCAGGCTCTCACAGTCCTTCTGCAGCCGCTCCAGCTCGCTCGCTGCGTCACACACACACACACAATTAAAAACATACCCAAAGACATGAACACAAATCACAGATATAGCACACACACACACACACACAACGGTGGAAGTGATGTGAGAAATGCGAGTCATCTTTAGAATATCTGTCGGATTACTGCAAACACTGCTGTAACTGTTGTTTGATGGACCTAGGGCTTGATTTGTAACCTCCACAAACACATTATTTTCCTCATTCATCAGGTTTCTGGGAAAAGAGGACAAGTTCCTCTAATAGATAATAAATGTGCAAAAAACATAAAAAAAGCCTTAATTTAATTGGGGGCAAAATACAGGAATTTAGCCTGGCGAGGCTAATGTTATGTGATTTTTATTTGATTTCATTTTAATATTATTTTTCCTCTAAATTTGTATCATTTATTTTTCAAGGAAATAACCTTTTAAAATGAACACTTTAACCAATGCATAATAATGTTTACATAATTTGTATTACTATTATTATAACAACATCAGAAATATTCAGATTTGTTCATGCTAATTTGATGTCATACAATTTAAGAGGTATGGATTTTTTGTATTTAAATGTACAGTCATTTATTTATGTATTATTATTTTTAACAACAACATAATAAAAAAATGTTCAAAATGGAAGTATAAATATTAATGAATTTGCATTTTGGTTTAGAAAAACACATGGATGAGAAGTGTTGACGTTCTCACATAATTTCATGATTTTTAGCAATTAAATGAAGCCGGTTTAAAATTCTGTAGGCCGGTCCAATCATCTGTGAGGGGAGAGGTGTGTGGGGTTGTGGGTACCTTGCTGTTTGGCAGCTCTGTCTCTCTGCTGGTTCTGCTGTTGTTGACTGGCCTGTACACTGTCAAGCTCACGCTCGTACTTGTTTGCGGCCAACTGCCATTTCTCCAGCTCAGAAGTTAGCGTCGCCAAGTTCCCCTTCAGCGCGCTGACCTCATGCTCTCGCTCGGCAGCCGTTTTCTCCATAGTGCGGCGCAACACCTGCACTTCCTCCTGAGCTGCGTGCGCCTCCTGTCTCATGCTGAAGACCACGCTGTCCTTCTGATCCCTGAGATTCTCCATGTCATCCTGCTGCTTCTGGAGCTGAGCTGAATACACATGTAGACAATTTGGTATAATACATTGTTGAGTAATAAAAACTTAAGACATACACACCCTCCTTCACTTACTCTGCAAGACCTTTATCTGTTTTGCTGACTCCTCTGCCTGCTGCTTATTGGCTTTTTTCTCCTCCTCCAATAGACCTGTAATACACAGCACAAGCCATCAGGGGGACCTATTGAGCATGACTGCCATTACAAATCATTTCAAATGTTCACAGGCTTACTCAAATATCCAAATAATCATCATCATCATCATCATCATGTGTAATTTAATATTTATTATTATTTAATCATGCATTTTACAAAGTTCAGTGCTGTTTTAGGATCAGTTTGGTCTCTCATATCCTAATGTATAAGACATTAGAGAGTAATCTGTGTGAGCTTACCTTGGAGTTCGCCACACTTGTGTTTGCCCGAGTTGGCCTGTTCATTGGCCTCCTGCAGTTCCTGGTTCAGGCGCTGGATGACCTTCTCAGACTCACTGGCCTCCACAGTGCTCCTGCTCAGCTCATCTGGATAAATGATTACATTATCTAATGGGAACTATTAAATGCATAATTAGACACTATTATGGTACTCTGCTGTCAGAGAATCACTCTTTCATCAACAGTTAATGGGTGATCTGTGTCTTTATCTCTGTATCAGCATCAATGAGTTGCATTTCGACTTAGCCGGATTCTTCTGCCCTCTGACGAAGTGCAAACCCAGTCTCCAAAGGTTAATTAAATCAGAATGAATCGCATGGTAATTTCCCTGGAGGTCAGAAAATGGGTCTATTCCATGAATTAATAACTTTACTCAGAATAGATCCATCCTAAAAACATAATGTCATCAGTAGGGTTTAAACTGGGATCTGCAAAAAGGATGGCTGGGGTTTCAATAAAGCTGCCATTTGAATAAATGTTTGAAAGGTTCTAATGTTATACAATGCCATTTCACAATAAATCAGAAAAGTTTTTGAACTTCTTTGAGAAAACATTCATGAAGATTTAACCTTTAAATAAAGATTCGTTGCTCTGCAAATGTTACAGTTTACTGGCTGCAATTTAGTTTGCCTAAACTTAGAAACAAACCTGCTCCTCTTGCTGAAAACCAGGCCATCTTATCAAATGCTCCAGAAAAATATGACCTCATCTTACAAACTCAAGGGTGTATACCATAAATGGGCATATCGAGGACATATCATTGCAATCAGAGAAACATAATTCCAAAAAATTGTACTTCACATGCCTTGGATGACTAAGCTAAAATATACTGAAATCCTGTGCAGGCGGCTAAGAGCAGAGAGGACGAAGGCATTAACGTTTCATGAGGTTCTGCGGTGGGTAATGTTTATGGATGCCATTCCGCATCAAAAACTCAATCTCTCAGCAGAGTACCAGGGCACATTGAAATGCTTTGGCCTAATTTATTTGTGAGTGTGTGGAAAAGGAAGACACAGTCAGACCAAAATATCTTCTGAAAACACTAGTATAAGCAGAAAGTATTAGCAGAGGCTGGAAACTGTCCCATCGCAACTAATGATAACAAAACACTGCCATGCATGATTACATTTGGGCATAATAAAATTATTTGTAAAATCGCTTGTTCAGAACAAAAGGTTTTATTCATTACGCTTGAACTGCTGATGAGCAGTTCTGAGGTATTTAGTTACAGACAGACATATAAAATGCATAGTTTACAGAAATTTCACTGAAACTAAACATTTTATTCCTCACGGTCTGTCATTTTTCCATGTTAAACTTAATAAAAATGCATTATTTTTAAATTAATGAATGCAATATTTTTTTACAAAAATATATCAAAGAGAATGAAATAAACGAATTGCTCACAAGTAACTCAATAAAGCTTTATACCCAGTGAGTCAAACAACCATTATTTTAGACACAGTACCATGACATACTCGAAGTATAATAATAAAAAAACAAGGTTTAATATCCTCTAAATGAATACTTATAGGGACAGTACAGCACTATATTTTGGTTCTGAATTCTTCAGCAAATAACAATTAAAAACTCAATAGCAATAAAGTGTTTTTACCTTTGATCAAAGACACTTTATTAATAGGATCTTTCAGCTTCTGCTCCTCCATTGTTTTCCCCACTGTGACAGAGCACGAGAGCAATTACGTTAATACCACTTTAAAATATGAACTTTAGACATTTTTTTTAGATATCCAAGTTTAGATATTTGATTGAATAGTAAAGAAATGTTAATATGAATTTCCAGGTGATGCCAATTATGACTCAGCTAGTTAATGAGGCGGAGAACTAAAATAAATTACAGTTTTCCAAAAAAAAGGCAACAGAACTGTGAGAAAATAAACACAAGCCTTAATCTTTTCCCGTTTTAAACGTCAAATTATAGCTCAAAACATAACGTCATGCCCGTTATATAATACAGCTTAGCATCATTGTATCAATTAGGAAGACTACTCATCGCCTTTACTTAAGTCTGAGGACTAAAAACAGATGCCATTACCTGTAAACTCGTGATGTCACGTTCTGTCGGTGCCGAAATAGAGCTGCAATATTCAGGCTTCTTTAACTATCGATTCGCTCTGGTGATGAGAACTGGACGAATCCATTCTGAAGGGCGGGGGACACCGACGCATCTAAATATCTTATCTGGGGGTTTCCTTGACAAAACAAGGCAGACACGGTAGAGTGGAGATGATGCAGATTACGCTATAAGAGAGCTGCTGAAGTATATTGAACTCTGAGGGGTCATTTTCTTTGTGGAAATTATTTGTAGGCCCCTTCTTGTGACCCCCTCCCCCCGCAGGTGATGGTCTGGAGGTCTCGCTCACATGGGCATACAAGCGTCCTGAGGCATCTAAAGAGAGGCTGCAGCTGCATGGTAGAATACACTCAGGCCCATTGTTTCACTCGTTAGGGCTTCTCTTGTGTAAAAACTGTTGACAATAGTGATCATTCGTGCTTGCATCAGTGCCAACCAAAGCACTGTGATTTCAGTAAACTATATTATCTGTTGGATGTCAAAATGTCAATCACTTTGACTGCCAAACCGATAATTTGAAGGTGTCTCGTCGATAGAAAACATGCAAAATACACCATGACCTCTAAAAGAAATGCTTGCATTTCTTGCCAGTAATGGTTTGTGGTCACTTATTTGTTTATTTATTTGTTTGTTTCTCCAGATGTAAACATATGGCTGATTTTGTGTGCTGGATTCTCAAATTTTACATTTCCAAGTCTCAAAATCTTTGATAAACAATATCTGCCGCTAAAATACTTGATCATGGTAAGTGACATTCTTTTAAATTGCCTGTGGGATATTTAAAACTTTTAGAATGGAAGTCTCACATTTGCATATTTGAACATATCATCATTGCATTGCTGTTTACTTTATTATAGGCCTGCTGCCTATAAAAACGTGCAACCTTGTTGTGCAGTTTTATAATTTACCTAAACAGGACATTAGATGTAGATTTATATAAAACTATGGATACTGTTACATTACACATAAGCATTGCATTTCCAGTGCCATCTCTTTAAATATCTCTATGAAATCATTATGTTTTCTTTTTCTCAATTTGACCAACCAAGGCTACTGATGTGGAAGTAAGAGAGTTTGCCATGCTCAGAGTTTGTATGGATCTTTCCTTTGTTGTCATGGTGATAGAGCAAACCTGTCTCATTCATAGTTCTTGCCCATGTAAGTTCTGACCGCACAAGATAGACTGAGAAAAATCACACACCATCACCAGCAGAAAATATTGAAGTCACCTTGTCCAGTGCCATCACGATAACCTTGAATCCTTAAAAGGGATGAGTCATGGTCATAAATCTCTGCGATGTAAGATCTACAGCTTTTAATGACAACAAAAAGAAGCTGCGTTTGTCCAAGATTTGGATCTAAAAATGGGTATTATGGGTGCCTGAATAATTCAGTGTTTTCTAGGCTAGATTAAGAAGATTAAGACTATTTCTCTTTCTCTTTTATCCTCTCTAACTTAATATTCATATTCACTTTTAAGGTTAAAAACGTTACATATAACGCATATAAATACATAAAAAATTTTTTTGCATGTCAGCACATGACTGACCTTCAACACTGAAATGTGGTTGAAATAATGTCATTTGTTGTTTCAACTATGAAAAAAACATTGAAACAACATTTTATGCTAGATGGTTTTAACAAGATCTGTACGTTAAACCGACAATGTCTTCAACAGCATACACTGCCTTTTAAATGATTAGCCTATTATGATCAGTAGGCTATTATTATTTTATTATATTTTGATCATATAAAACCTCTTCCAAAATAAAAAATTATGTGTTAAATACAATTATTATAATTATAGGGAAGGACACTATTGCACAAAAGCAGACTGTACATTAACCTGCAGCTACTGCCAAATAAAAGTGAATACGTGGCCGCCATGAAACATTAATTTGAGAATTAATTTATAATTCTACCTTTATATTATCTTAAAACTCTCTGCTAACAAAAACAGTCCATTACAATGTACAAAATAATCGGCCTAGCAACAAGATGACGAGAGTCTGTTCTGTTGAGTGATACAAGAAACATGAAAATTAGCGCCAGTTTGGGACACTCTAAAAGGCTTAACGTTAGAAAAAAAAAACGCTTAACTTGACTTAATGTAAGACAGTGGCATTAACAGACCAAACTCAGTAAACAGCTTATTAATAAAGCATACTATACAGAAAAGCAGATGAACCCAGAATATGAACGCAACGCGGTTACCGTAATTGCACATTAAGCATTTTTCTCCCATAGAAAACCATTACAAAGAAAACGCTTAATGTACTAAGACAGTGATATTAACAGACTAAATTCAGTAAACACCTAATTAATAAACCATATGTACAGAAAAGCAGATGAGCCCAGAATATGAATGCAATGCGTTACACGTTAAGCGTTTTCCTCCCATAGAAACAGCTATAAATAATGCTTAATGTGGCTTAATAGGCTACTAAGACAGTGATATGAAAAGAGCAAATTCTGTACACACCTTATTAATAAACCATTGAATTACACACGTTAAACATTATGCAACGTTAAGCGTTTTCTTTATAATGATTTTTTAAATGGGAGGAAAACATGGGTAATTAAACGCGTTGGTATTCATATTCATATTCTGGGCTCATCTGCTTTTAGTTAGTGTGGTGTTTGCTGAGTTTGGTCAGTTAATATCACTGTCTTAGTACATTAAGCCACATTAAGAGTTTTCCTTAACATTTTCTATGGCAGGAAAACGTTTCACGTGTAATTAAATGTGTTGTGTTCATATTTCGGGCTCCTCATCTGCTTTTCTGTACATAGTATACTTTATTAGTATGATGTGCACTGAGTTTGGTCTTTTAATATCTCTGTCTTAGTAGCCTACATTAAGCGTTTTAGAATGCCCCGCCAGTTTCAGTTACCCGGATGAGCGGACTGCATGGACGACGACCAATCGACCAATCAGAACCGAGTATTCCAGACTGAGTGCCGTGTAATGAAATAAAGTAATTAAGGATATAACATGACTAAACCAGCATGATATTGTTTGTATATCCAGCACAAAGCCAGACTAATGCCAGCTGCGTGAGGCTGTTAGACCCTGCAGGAAAACGCACTCGGTGCTGTGAGAGTCAGTGACGCAGAAAGTAGATGTGTGAGTAAAGTTTGTTTCGAAGGCGGACAGGTAAACTGTCCCGGTAAGAAGGCAGCGCCGCAGGCTCCTGCTGAGAAGTGTGAGATAAAAGCAGATGGCAGGAAAAATGGAACAGGAGGGGGTTGCTGCCTTTTCACCGCAAAAATCCGGGGCCATAGCAGAAGGTCAGCATGAGGTGTGTTAGACCCTATAGCAGCAGTTTGCATGGACTCGACCACTGCTTTACCTTAGTACACGGAGAACATCACAACAAACGCATGCAACGTTTTTCTTTACTATTAAGATGTAAAGGTATGACGCACTTTGCATTTTCATCTGTTTATTGTTCAGACTGATGTTCAGAAAACTTCTTGTGCACTTCAGTGTGTAAGACCATCATTCAAATGAACACCTCCAGAATCAGACGTGCCATGGTAGAGGTTTATCTCTAGTCATTGTCATGCTGCAGGTTATTGTGATAATGAGTTACTGATGTTATAATTGTAGATATAGCGGTATACTGATTATGATACTGAGGGTATTAAACACTTACATGAATAATTGTACAGCATTCTTTCAGCATTACCTCACTATAGTTATACTGTCTGTACTATAAATTCTTAAGGGGTGCTAAATTCATCTATTAGTCCTAATATATTCCACCTGAAAAGGGACGGCATATAGATCTAGCAATTATGAGATCATAATATAAAAATGTTCTGTGCAGTACATCAGTTTCCGAAGCTTAAAAAAGGTATTTTTCTTGCTATACATTTTAAGCACTTAAAATTTATAGATTTGAAGGTGCTTAATACTGGAAGTTTGTTAATTATTGAAACCGCAGTCGAATCTAGATCTATATGAATATCTAGCTGATCATTTAAAGCCAAAGAGTATATTTATGGAGTTCCTGAATCTATGTTGTATAGTCCTGGAATACATAAATAGTATTAAGCACTGTACATTTATGGTTTGTTTTGTATGCTCCGTATTCACATTATTACTGTCAGTTACCCATCAAGGCTGACAAACAGTTTTGCACCACTTTGGCAGTCATATAACAGTTCTTGTAATTGGCAGATCAGTCTGCGGACTCCATTACAGATGAATGAGATGGTGATTTTTGTACTGTAAAAAAAAACAAAAAACATCAAGCCACAGTCATTTCTGTTTCACAGTCTTTTCTCTTCTGCCATATCTGCCTTTTCGATTCATATATTTCTAACCACAGTACTTGTATCCAGTCAGTGAAGTGCTTTGAAAAGCCCACCAGAATGGTGGTCTATTAAAAGGCAATCTCACATTTTTTTTGTCCCTATTTCATAGGCTTCCAAGTCCTGGTCCTGGAAAGCCGTGATATGTCCAGGTTTTGGCTCCAGCCTGGGTTTTAACACCTGATGAATCAGGTAATCTCATCCTCTGACTGTAAGAAGTTAGGTTAAGACAGTGATAAGGGGAGGATTTAGTGCCAGGCAGGAGGAAGACCAAGAGGACAATGCAGCCATCCAGAATCAGAACTAGCAATCCTTTCTACGCTGGTCTTTTGCTGGTTTTACAGCACCGCCATCACTCCTCACACGCTGTTCTTGTCTGGGAGCTCAGCCTCGGGGGTGCGGGGGAAGTAGACGGTGGTCTTGTGCTCTTCGTAACGGTCAATGTGCTTGAGGTGGACGACCATGTGCAGGGCGTAAGCCAACACAAGTAGCAGAATCAGAGATGTGATTAGGCCCATCAAGATGGCTGGAGTGAAGAAAGTCGCACAGTCACTTGCTGAAGCAAACTTGTTGGACTGGACATTAAAGGCCTGGATCTGAAAAAGAAAAAGTTCTAAAATAAATGTTTTCTGTCTGAGAAAGTTATACAAAATTTATTGTGAACCTATACATGAACTAGATCTGGGTCTGTTGACTGATAGAAATGTCTTAACCCCTTATTTACACTGCACACGT